TAATCTCATTTCGTGAGAGATAAACATGGGTATATTGTCAGATTAATAACCTGTCTCATGTCTGCCACGCTTTCTGTACTGCTTGAAATGGTCACTGTATGCATGATTTATGAAGACAGTATCACCTTGAGGAGTAAATGCAGTGTCACTCGGGCAAGATGAACGTCTGTATGGGTTTCAGTGGAGAAATCTAATGTTAGAGCAATCGGCTACAATGTTTACATAGTCTGTTGTATCATCTTCTATTGTTCAGACTGCCTGTGCTGTCGTGATTGTGCGTTCTATTTTCTGGTACAAAAGGATATCTTACTGAAAAAAAGAATTGGGCTAAGACTTTTTTCTATAGGTGAATTGAAAGCAAGGTTCTGATTTCAATAAGTGCAATGCAGTGAAAAGCACTAATGATCACATCAGTGTGAAGGACACTTTTTCTCAGAGATGGAGAAATGTACAGGGCAATTCTAGGGAATAAAACCCCAGACCAGATAGGTTAACCTGAGTTAAACCTGGTAATTATTACGCCAAATCTCCCCATTACTTGCTCTAAGCATTAGTATACTTGACTTCTACTAGGTGTACAGGTGTTGTTGTGAATTGATTGTAGAAACAGTTCAGCTATTTGACCTTTCATAGAAATAGCTAAAATTGTGCCCTATGGTCTTCAGTTGCATATCTATACCTAGGCTGGCATCACTGTCATGTGGCTTCTCCTTGGCTACATCATGATACCCAGAAAGGGTTATGCTGACTGAATGTATCCTTGAAACAATGATAAAATAACTTTTTTCTTGTGATCATAATGTACATTAGTCTATATCCATGAATTGCAAGGTGAACTGTAGCCTGGAGCTTTCATTTGTTAGCAAAGGAGCCACCTCCACTAATGTTTAATGGGTTGGGACAAGCTCTTATAATGCAGTTGCCTTAGGCTGCTTCCCTCTACTTGAACTTAATCTTAACACCTTTTGCAGCTGGTGACACTACTTATGTTTGGATATGTTGAGAGGAAATTTCTTGTATTAAGTGAAAATAAATCTGGACAGGAATCCCAGATTGGGAAGAGAACTGTGGAAGAGTTGGATTCTGAGCGCCTCTTTCATTTTTCATAACTTGACAGCATAATTTTAGGCTCCAGGAAAAAATGATGACACTGCTAGAAAAGATCATGGGTAGTCCTATAAAGCAGAATGTGAAACATAGGGCCAGCAGTACAGTAATAGATGAATTTAAACAGAAGAATTCAAGTTTCCTACAAGGCAGCCGTGTAATAGAAAAATTGATCACTGCAATTCTGTTGAATGTTTCAGGTTTTTCCTTTTTTTTTCTTCTTCATAGTGGATTGCAGAACATGGAAAAAGCTTGTTTATATGGCTGGGTAAAACTCAGTGAAGTCTAAAATGCCTGGAAAACTACTTCTAAAGGCTTGTCTATTTGGAAGGTATTGGATATCTATGTTCCTTGCTACATGCAAATAAGTTGTCTGATGAGTTATGTGTAGGAATGGAACTTCCAAAAGTGTTGTTTGTAAGAGACATTGTTTTGGAGACATTCATTGAAACAGACAAGAAAATACTTTTTACAAGGCTGAATGTTTCTATTAGGTTAGTCATAAAGCAAACATGATTTTTATTCTCTGGCATGAGTCATAGTTAACTGTATCAATCCCTTCATAATGTATGATCCAAATGGCTTGTTGGCAATAAGCAAAACTTAATCCTGTTATGTGTCAGTATGTTCTACGCTATCTTGTCCTTACTGCCCAAGGATTCGACGCTTCGAAATACGTCACGATTTAATTGAAAAGTAGAACCGGTGTGTGTTTGCCGTTCTTAAAACTTGAATCCATTGTGTGTGTAGATACACGTTTAGTTTTTTTGCCTTTATTTGGATGGGTAGTCTTGAAAAATTTGAGCAAAAGGGACCAGTGGCAGGTCAGTCCCTACTATAGCTAAGCACGAAACATAGATGTCGACTCCAGTGTATTCTTACAGCAGTATTGTGCTGGGAACCATCTGAGAAGTTTGTAGGCTTGTCTGGTAGGTACCATTGCAGGAAGCCAGGAAAATTGCTCACCTTTCTTAACCAGCAGCTGCCTTCTTGGGAGGAAACGTAATTACATCCGTCTTGCCATGTGAAGCTTGGGTCATTGTTCAGTGTGCATGGATACGTGCCGAGGTTTTGAAGTCACCACAAATAACAGTGCCAACCTGAAAATAATCCCTCGAAGCAATGCGAGCTCAAACTGGCTGTGCTGTGACTGTCTCTTGTGTTGTGCTCTGAAAACAAACTACTGCTGCATGCAGATGCTGTTCTGGTACCACTGAAATTAAAATGAGTAGATCAGACTGTGATTTGCATGGTAATGTTTCTTTCCCCCCCAGTGTTTGGCTGGACTGTGCCCAACTACCAATGTCATTTCTTGCTGGGAAGAAGAAATTAATGTCTGTCAACTCAGTGATTCAAGGTAACCAGTGTCAATAATAGGCAATGATAAATACAAATAAAAAACATAAACAAAAAACCCTCACTTTTCTTTAATTTGGAATTCCAGATGATGCTGCACTACCTGAGCTGGCCAAACTCATTAGTTCATTTATTACACAAAGAAAGAAAGAAAAACTTTTTAAAGCAATGCATCTTTGATATTCCCTGTATTCTTTTTATAATCCTCTGTAATTCTTACATATCTCTTCACACATGTGGATTCTTATATTAACATCTTTCTTTTGATAGGTACCCTTAGCACGTAAAACCTTGTTTGCACAGATTTTCTTTTCTGCATGTGCTTCATACGCATGTAATAAGTAGATAATTGTACATAGGTTTATGTGGCAAGTGTGCTCATGCTGCTGTTGTCAGTAATAGTGTTACCCCAATGGGAGGGGTAACAGAGGCAAGCATTAATATACTGTGCTGTACAAACAGTGCATATATGTGGATCCTTCTTACTCTGTCAAAACCAACAGCAATAGATCATTCCAAAGGCAGATTTCCTCATTAAGTTACTCATCTCCCTGTGTACAGCTTGCCATAAACATACACACAACTTAAGCCTCTCTTTAAATGATGATTTGTTAGTCCAGATAAAATAAAATCTTCCCAAAGTCTTCATCTTCATTTGTCATTAAAAATTTTATTCCTCTCACAGTTGTTGGTTTTTATTGCTGTAGTAAAGATTTTTAAGTAAAATAGATTTGGGAGCGGAGGGATAGAATAAGCATCTGAACTTGACATAAGAAGTGCAGTGTTGCTGTTTTTTTTTCCACATAGGTAGTGAATGCATTGTGCAACTGTACCAAAAAAGTCTGTCAGATGTAAGCATGACCATATGGTTCTATCAGTTTGTGTGTGTAGATCAAACTGAAAAAAGCAGGGTGATGGAAAAGGAAATGGAAGGAGAAAGTCAGGTCTTTGATGTGAATCTAGCTGGAAGATTAAGTTCTTTAATATTTCCTAGAGCTCTCTAACACTAGTGGAGGGCTGAATACAAATTCTACCCAGCCTTTACCTTGGCCACATTTTGGAATTAACCTCCATAACCACGAGGGCTCAGATGTTTATGATATCCTTTCCTCACGTAGTGAGTGTTTGTGGCTTCCTTAACTACATGCAAATAAACTCTACCAATTTGAGTACCATCACTTTTTAGAGCACTCAATTAAATGATAAGGAGAGCATAACTCAAGTTACTGGTGGTGTTCTTCGTGCACGCACAAGTAATAATCCCATCACTATCAGAATCAATACTTTACTTGCACTGCGAAGGCACCTGGTTTTCCCTGGATCACTCCTTGGTGAGACCTGTAGGGAGGAGCTCTCAGCAGCACCTGTCTGTTGGCAGAGCAGCCCCAGCCTGTTTGGTGCTAGCAAAAAAAGTGACTGCCTGAAAGTCTGTTACCTCTGATTGGGCAGCTGAATGGGTGGACGGCAGGATGGGGGCTGCAGCAGCGACACAGTGATGAGGAACAGAAGGCAGATGGATGCTAACGGGCTTCATGGAACAGTGGAAGTTGTTATCTTTCTGAAAGTTTCTAAAACATCCACTTCACTGAGTGAAAAATGTTTGTAGGAATGAAATTTTGATGTTAGTCAGGTGAAACATCAATAATCTTTCAATGCAAACTATTTTTAGGCCACTTTAGACACTTCTCTATTATAATTGAGAGCAACAAAGAAACGTGGGATGTTTGAAGGGAAAGCGAGGTGTGAATCAATGCGTGTGATGCACAAAACTATCTGTATAAGTAGTTTTTGTTTTATTTGGACATTTGTAAATGTAAAATGATTCAGGAAAAAACACCTTAGATATTTGTACACTTGTACAGTGCCTGTTCTGGTGAAATTCTGAAATTGTTTGCAAAATACAAATTATTAAAATTACTGAGACATTTAAGTTCAACAGTATTATAGAATTTGAGACTTGTCCAGTACAGCCTTCCATCTGAACTATTGAAATTATTTATTTCACATGGTTGAAGGACATGTAGACAAGGATACCACATCCAGAGTAGGTGTGAAGATCACAGAATCACAGAATCACAGAATCACCCGGGTTGGAAGGGACCTCAAGGATCATGTAGTTCCAACCCCCCTGCCTAGCAGGGCCACCAAACACACACATTCAGATCAGGTTGCCCAGGACCCCGTCCAACCTGGCCTTAAACACATCCAAGGACGGGGCATCCACAACCTCCCTGGGCAGCCCGTTCCAGGGCCTAACCACTCTCCTTGTATAGAACTTAACAAAGGCACAGCAGAAGGTACGGTATTCTATTCTCCCAAGAGATTTTTGCTGGAAAATTAGACACTGTCTTCTCCATATAGAAAAGGAACAGCTGAATGACAACACTTAGAATATTTTCTGCATGTGAAATTGAATCTAATTGTTACCGAAATAAACAAGTGCAAATTGTTTGCAGCAAAGAAAAGAACTATCCTGGTGGGCAGGAAGTTGCATTTACCCCTACTTGTTACTATAAAAAAAAGATTTGATATTCTTGGTGACTATGAAGATTAAACCAGAGATTTATGTTAATGCAAAGGATTAAAAGAATCTTAATAACATGCATAAAGATGCAAATGTTCGCCTGCATTTTATCTGCTTGCAGATGAATATGCCATAAGGGAGATACTAAATGGGGAGAACGCATCCTCTCTCTGAATTGGAACATCTGGTTTAATACTGCACTCACATGGTGACTGAGTATTAATTGTTTTCACCAATGTGTTTTTTGAACAGTGTGATAATTTCTTTTTTTTTTTTAAATTATGAGGAAATAGCAATATTTGACCAACTTCATACATAATGCCTGTTTAGTGTGTGCTTGGGGCGCTGCAGATTTTGATGAAATATATCTATTCCATATTTGTTTATTTGTCTATCCTGTAATTTCCAAAGATTTCATTTTCTAACTAGTGAAGAACTTAAAATATTACATTTGCTGTCGAGCTTACAGCTTTGTTCCCCCAGTTCCAAACTGTCCTTCACTGTAAACACAAGCCATACCAGCATGGAAAATTATGTGCTTTATTTGGGAGCCCTGACATATAGTATTATTATACACGTATGTACTTACACGTCATAAATGATTTGAAAAAGGAGGCATTTAAGGTGAAGGTGTAAACATCACTAACCACTTATGTTCTGTTTTAGGTTTGTTTTCCTGTTCTTTGATCAATTCTTACTAACAGACGTGTGTATAAACAGAAGCCACCTGGGTTTGTAATGAAGTTCAACTGAAACGGGAAGTGTCCCAACACTCAAATCAGTATAAATCTTCAAAAGGTTTTGAGTAGTTAAACATCAAATAATCCATGTAGTAAAAGTCATAACTTTGTTGCCTTTGAGAGGGAGAAAGTTGTGCAAAGTACTGTTGTGTGATTTTAGTGGTAGTTCTTTCTTCATTGGAGTGCCTATCTTTGAACTTAGGGAAAGTCAAATTTTGTGGAGCACCAATTAGGTGCAAGAAAAAGTTTGCATCTTCTTCCATACTTTCAAATTTCCCAACAAAGTCGTAATCTATTAGACATGGGCTGCAAAGCCTATTGACGTGATCCCAGTGGATGTCCATACCCACTGGCCTATGTACATCCAGGAGATATTGAATGAACTCTTTAAATTTGACTCCAGAGCCTGTCCTTAATGCTTCTTTGGTGGCATTGACACGGTATCTGGAAATGATGGCTTTTCCAAATACCGGATGATAGTAATTGTTTGGGTGTTCGAACTTGTCCCGAAATGCAGATACCAGCTTTTCAAAAGGTTCCCGAATAAAAAGCATCTTTGTGTAAGTGTTGAGCCTGTGATAAATTCCTTTGCGGTCAAACCCATCCAGCCTTTTTAGATAGTTGCCGTAGTGCACTGTGTTGTGTTGTATATCTTTAGTGGAAGAAGCCAGCCCATTGAGAACCATGAGCACCCGTTTCCAGTTAGAGCAGCCAGCTTTTGGTACTTCACAGTACAAAACTCTGTATTTGTCTTCTACAAATATTCTAGAAACGTGGTAAGGAGTGATTATTCTTCTGTTATTACTCTTGTACTTAGAACAAGTTTCCTTCATTATTTGCTTTCTTTTGCTTTGTATCTGGTAGAGACTTTTCCATTTGTTATTTCTGTCGTCGGATTTAAGTGTGGGCAAGTTGAGAGTGGAACTGTTCGTGGAAATTAGAATTGGGCTCTTCTTAATTACATACCTCCTCCTCCGTTTATGGAGCCTCACTGAATTAGTTTCCTCACTTTTCTCTTGGTAATCTTTCATAAACATTGTGCTGCTTTGCCTTCTGTCTATGCTTTGAAGCTTGGAGGGCACATTTTCAGATGGGTGTAATGAACCACTCAGCTTTACTGTTGCTACCCCGTCTGCAGTACTTTTTCTTAATCTTCTATCCTGGTTATTGCTGGAAACGCAGTCCTGATAGAAAAATAGATGAAAGATGTTACTGAATGAGAGACTTATTTGTCACTATTAGCAGCTTGTGCAACACAACGCAGATCTTGTTGTACAGCTGTGATTGCACTGCTGCAAGTCCTTGGTGCCTGTGCTGTGCAGCTGACTTTTCTCTATGCTTACGCCCATTCTGAAGGCTGATATGAGCCTGAATTGGTAAATTCTGGTTCAGATTTGGGTTTTGCTATATTTTACTTGGTGTCTGTGCCCATATTTTGATAGACTTTTGCCCCTTTAAATTCTTTTGGTGGAAATGTCAGCATATTTTGAGGATTTAATTTTTCCAGACTGCCTGTTGTCACACATCTGTTCCATGTTTTGTCCCCCACCCCTTTCTTTCAGTATGGTATCTTGGCACGGAGGACAGTTGTTCCCAGAGTGAAGCCTTCCAGGGAAAGAAGGGTAATGGGGCTTGTGGAGTAAGGATGTGGAGGGCAAAAGAGTGGGACGAAGAAAACAAAGAACTGCAGTGAGATGATGGAGCCTTTAATGAGTAGAAAGGGATGGGGTAAGAGCAGCATGAACAGGGAAAAGGGGAGCCTGGAGTGAGGTGAGTTTGGAGACCAGAACAATTCTCACTTGATGAAAAGCAGCAAATGATAATGAAGCTTGACTGGGATTAGGAGAGTGAGAACAGAGCAAGCAAAGTGAGTCTCTGGATGAGGAGTTTCTGGGACCTGCTCTCTTTCATTAAGAGGATCTCACTGGTTAATATTCCTCTTGGCACACAGCCTGGGTGTGTTCCGCTACTTCCTGCTTCTCAAAGCAGCTGAATTAAATCCCTGTCTACAAGTCTTTGCCTCTACAGCTGAAATTATGTTCTGGATATACTTGAACTCCTTGTCAGCCCTGTTCTGAGGAGTCATCTGGGAGCTGAGTGGCATAGGAGCCATAGGGAACATTTCAACAAAGAAACACATACAGCTGTGCAGTGTATATTGTTTATCAAAAATATTTAATGTGTATGTAGTTGCTTTATAAATCATAAAATTCAGATTTTCCAGTCTTTATTTGCCTCCTAATAGCATTTAAGTGACTTGAAAAAGAAGATATTCGAGGAATTTTAAGGTATACACATGGGAAACAAAATTGGTAGAGTACTATGCAATTTGTTATGGCACTTTGTGCTGTAGAATTTGGGCTTCTAGAAAGCTTTGTCTGTTCTGGTAATGGTGGTTTTGTGACGGGAAAGCAACTGATGATTTGTTACACAAGATGCTATCTATTCAGCTGTCGAGAATGATAGTTCTCTCCTTATCTTGAGAGGCTGCTTATAGTGGTCAAATGTGTATTGAAATTTTTGTCCAGGTAAAATACAGGATGTGACACATTATTTCTAACTATTATCCTTCACATAGTGGCAGAAATTTGATTTTACTTATTCGCGATATCACTGATATTTCATGTTTATCAGATTCAGACTTCCGAGATATTTATAGCGTGGTAACAAAGAACCTCCTGGTTTTGAGAAACTGTCACGATTTGAACGTGTTCTGTCAGTGTAATTCTTCCTCCAGGAGGCCAGGCTGAAGCTGCAGAGATGGAGGGATGTCATTCGGATCTCACTGGTTTCATAGGCAGTGGCTTTTGGGTAACAGCTGGCAGCAGCGCAGTTGTTCCTTTGCATACTTTGCGCTGGGGCTTGACCTGAAACCGAGTAGCTGCTGTGGGCGGTCACTGCTGCTGCGAGTGTGTTAGTAGCCACTAGATGGAGGAATTTCACCAGGATTTTTCTTTGGCTTATTTTTAAGCGCATCTCCTTTGCTCAGTGCAATTTCACAAAATATTAATCGAAGTTTACAGTACCTTTTAGCAATATCCAGCCTAGGAAAAAAGCTCATAAAGCTAAAGTTGAGTAGGTTATAAAATTCATGTATTAAGAGGAAAACTTGCACTTAATGGCAAAGCTTTGATGCATATTTCTGTTTGAGAGCTTCATCTCTAGTCTAGTGATGTTATCTGACCCATCTCTATTCTTACTCTAAACTCAGAATAGAGATACAATTCTCCTTATGTACTTCTGGAGACTTACTTTTTTTGGTTGCTGGAGTCCCATGTTATATTTTATCCCTAAACAAAGAAAGAAATTACAGTCATTATTTAGTAAAAATGCACATACGTTAATTTTGCTTGACTGATATCAATGTGTGTCCTCTCAGTAACAACAGGGAGAACAGAAACATGTTGGTACAATGATGTATGGACCTATGATGAACTGAAATTAATGTGTATTTCATAGTAACAATACTCCTTTGAAGGACCCTTTATATATGAAAAGCCATTGTGAAAGGAAGTAAATGTCATTATCCCTTTTCTACAGATGGGGAAACCGAGATGGAGGAAAAGTCTACTTAACCTCAGTGAATGGGCCAGCAGAAGAACAAAAAACTCCTGATTGCAGGTTAGAGCTTTAAGAAATGCTGTTCTTTGTGTGCTTACCTAAAGCTGCGTTAGCATTCTTTTCCTAAATTTTCCCAAACTTTGGACACTAGGGTGCTTAATCACAGCAGTAGTGTGCACTGAGTACTATCTTTTGCTGTAAAACCAAAGCAATGCACAATGGCCTTACATGTAAGAAAGAACTGTGTTTTGCTAAATCTTCTGTCTTATATAGTGTGCCTGTCTGTCTGAAAACATAGTGATAAAGATGTGAAAATCCTAGACGAGAGCTCTGTAAGAGACATAGGATCTTTTTGTTGTTCCTAACCTCTGCTAGTATAATAATACAGAATGCATAATGGAAAACATTTCTTAATTATAAAATTAGTTCAGAGCTTCTCAGCTTATAACAACCAGCATTTGCTGCCAGTAGTTCCAGTTTAATAAATCTGCATTACAAAGCCACAACATTTCAACAAGGACAGTTACAGGTAAAGGTGTTGCAAGACACTCTAAGTGAAAGCACCACTGAATAGCTCAGTCCGGGTTCGTTTCCATAATGCTGTGAAAGCTCTTGCCCGCCTACTTATTCACACTTCAGTTAATTGCAGTTATAGTAGTTAGTCCAACTTATACAATCAATCATGGTGTTTTTTCCTCTTTTAAATCAAAACTACAAACTGGTGTTAATTGTAGTCTGAATCAAATTGCTGAAGTTATTTCTATGCTGTTGGAGCTCATCCTAGCAGTGCTTATCGCTTCTTTGATTCGTGTTTGAGTTTTAATCCTCAAAAACAAATGCAGCAATTTGTTAGTAGTAGCAGAAATGCTAAGTTATGGCTTGAAGCACTGATTGAGCACCTGGTGGAAAGGAGGGCCAACCCAGGGGAGCTCAGTGCATGCAGTGCACCTGAGTGACCAGAAGGGGTGGAGCCAGGATGCACCTTTTCCTAAACTCCTCATTTAAGGGCTGGCAGAGGAGGTGAAGGTTTCTTGCTGGAGTTTCCTGCCTACCTGAGGCCTTCTGGTAAGCAGGTAAGCAGATTCTTTCCTTTGTTTCTGTGCCTACAGCTGTTACGTTTGAGCAAGTCCTTGCTTACTGTGGCCTAGGACTTTGCTACTCTGCTGTCATGGCTGTGGTTTCCATTGTGTGGCAATGTTACATTTGTAATAAACTCAAGGTGGATTATTAAAAGCAATGGGCATGTTATTTTTACTTTATCAGAAGTAGTTTTCAGATGCCTTACGTGAGTCTTAAGCTTTTTTTTCTAGCTTATTTGCAGAAATGTTTAGCTGGAAATTAAGGAGAGAGATTCTAAGGAGAAAAAGAGGTGGTCTATAGCATCCTTGTCTGTGTTATGAAAGACTTTGGCTGGTTGTATTGTACTAGGCTTTATGTTACTGACTTGCTGTTCAGTTCTTGATGTGATCAAATTAAGGATTTTCTCTTTTTCCATTCCTGTGTACTGTTACAGAGCAATGAGGTTATGGAATCTGCTGTCCAACAAGCATTAAAAAAATTGAGCACCAGCACTTTATACATATTCATACTGGAGCCTGGATGATTGGGTTAAACCATAAATCAGTTCTGTTTGTCAGCAGATGTAACCTTCTGCTTGCTTTGTAACCCTGGAGGCATAACTTTAAGCCACTTGAACTGAATTTGTGTTGGCTGCTTGGCCTATAGCCTAAGGCATCGTTAATAAGGCTAGCTGGAGTAGCTGTCGAACTTTTACTTTGGGCTTTCTTATAGCAGAGTTTGAAATTAAATGTGTGTTTTCTTACAAATTCATAATATTGTTACAGTATTCCTTCTCTTGTAGGTAGAAATCATGTGTGCCAGTACAGCTGTGAAAAATTAATGCAGAAAAAAAAATTTAGTTTGTAGGTCGATTCTTCTGATTTCCAGAGTAAATTTAGTATAATGCACTTTGTATCAGTGTTGTTATAAGAATTACTCACAGTGGCTACCAATTTCAGTTCTGCTTTTATACCTCTAAGTGTTTCATTTCTAAATCTCTCTTTAAACTGGTTTCAGTGTTAAATCATGCCTCATTCTCTGTCACAGAGGTATGGAAATGTACTTTGGTTTTTGGTAATGCCAAAAGTCATAATTGAAGGTTTACATATTTAAAATATTTATCCTACTGTGAATAATCTGTGCCTATGAGTGTAAGGCAGAGGAACTGGTGTTGCAACTATACCCAAAAGATAGGAGTTTGTAGGCATTGTATCTTATTTTCCTCTCAGTTTCCAAAAACTCTTTGAGATTTTTCCCAAATGAAAGCATGTATAGATGAGAAAGACCTGGTCACTAGTCAGGAAAGTAAACCATTGTTTTGGACTGAATGAAATGCAAGTATTTGAGCATCTGTGTCTAGATAGTAACGTAAGAGTTAGTGTTAAGTTCTTGACAGGTTTGTTTAGTTATAGTCATTTCTCTTGACATCAGTGGAAACAGTGATAGTTTATAGCAAAATCACATCCTCAGTGTAATTACCCATAGAAGTCTGCATGTACCTGCTATGAATAATAATAAAAAAACAAGGTGCAAAGAGCAGCTATGGAACCCGTTTTTTTTTTTTTTCTTTGATTAATTATGAGCTATTATGTTTCTGTAGCATCATTTCATAAAGGTAGCTTGTTTTAGGGACAAATATCTTGCACTCACAGGCTGTGCTTTGAAAAATTATAAATAAATACTGGTAGGCAATGAGTAACAGTTTTTTAAAATGATTCTTCACTTACTGCCGTTCACACATAATCAGAACAACAATTCACGTTCAATGTAAATGTTTGGTGAAGCACTTGCCAATCTCTTCAATGTTTTCTGAATTGTGACTTCTAAGAGTTGGCTTCTTCTAGCTGTCTTTCTCATAATACAGTCTGTCACTTCAGATTTAAAGGTACATGAGGGAAAAAACCTCTTAAGTTCAGTGGATTTGGAGAAAGCATATTGCACAGATCTCCTCTGCTAATCAAGTGTAAACTTAATGTTATGCTGCATCTTTGTGATCTTGGCAATAACGTTTGAGAGCTAGGAAGTAACGTGGATCGTAATTTGTCTTTGCTGTAAATAAAAGGCTGTTGTCTGCTGTGCCCAGGTAGTTGATCATTTAATGTTTGGTGCCAGTATCTCACTAGTGCTCAGACAGAGAAAGAATAGCCAAGAGACAGAATCATTCTATCAATTGTACACTGTTAATGTCAGCTTTCGTGGTGTTTTCTTCTCCCTCCCTTGTGCAACCGTGATTTTCCAAACCTGAGCTTGGTCTGCTTTTGTTGTTTTTCAAGAAATATGAGCCTTATGCTTCATCCATTCCTACCATACAGTCAGTTGCATTGTGAGCTTTTCCTTTTTTTTTTTCTTTTTTTTTAAATGCTACTAGCAACACAATAAAATGGCCTTCATCTTCCCAGTGTAATATTATATTGCTTTGCCTCTCCTGCCTTCTCCTCTGTCTCTGCTTCAAGACCTAATTTTGGTTTGCCTGGAGTGGTGTTTTGCTCTGTTCTGAGACTGCACTGCAGCTGAAATATTTGTTAATAAAAATGATAACTTCAAGTCTGCTTCTGCAACTCCTTTCCTTTAGTGGTCTTCTGTAAGCAGCATATACTTGTTTGCTTCATCTTAATTGATTTTTGAGCTATGTGTACTCTGGGGGGCTGTTCACGTCATTGCACGAACATCTGAGCCAAGTGTCCCACTCCCATGTGCTTACTCAGGGAAGACATCACATACTTAATCATAGAATCAATAGTGGATTAGTACTCAGAATTCTGATTAGTGTGAAAAATTGTCAGTTTCAAAAAGGTTTTCCCCAGAATTTTGGTCAGATGATTTTAAATTTCAGAGGAAAAAAAAAAAAAAAAGAACATGCAAAAAAGAAAAAACTGGAAAAAGAACTGTTAGTTTGACTTGTATATATGAAATGCCCATTCCTGATCCCAACTTATTCCAGCATCTAATTGTTCACATATTTTAATTAAGTTACTTAAAATGGGAAAATGTAATTGCTATTGTATATGTAAAACCAAATATTTCGCAATAAAAAATATTGTTAAGTGTACATATTTGGAGTACTTTTTAATTACAGAAACTTTGTTAGGAAACAATTCTATATTAAAATTGAGGCCTAATCAATCAGAAAGTACATGTGGATCTGTTGTACATGCAGGCATAGTAAGCAGTGAAGTTTTTGTATCTAAAACTCAAGGGTTTTTGAGTGTTTTGGTTAATTGATACAATGCTGAACCACTGTCAAAGCGAAATGCTTAGTGACAAGACAGGCATCACAGTGTTTTACAGAGAACTATGAAGTCATGCATTTCCAAGTCACTACAGTGTCTGACTTTGGCTTGTGTTTCATTTTACATTAATTTTTGCAGGCAAGGCGAGAGTGAATAGCAGGGTACATGGAGGAAGTTCTAAAGCCTCCTGATGTTTGACCAAGTCTGTCATTCTTGAGATGAATGCAGTCAAATGCTGTCTCCATAGCACCTTTTATTCTTTCAGAACTTAAAATCAGATCATTTTGGCAAATCAGTTATAAGTTGTCATGTTTTGAATTCAAATAGTAGTTGTCTTAAACCCCCATATTAGCTGATAAATTTTACTCTGAAGAATTTCAATCCCGACTCATACAGTGATTTTATCTATGTATTCTAAAGTAAAAACTAGGTTAGATTTC